GTTTTTTCAGATCAACTATAAGGACCAATATCGGTCCGGATATATATATTCAGACCGATTTCCTATATATCCGGACCGATATTTCGGTTCGGAAATCCCATTCCTGCAGTAGTGTTCATTTGAAATTTTGTAGGTTCTAATTTTGTACCCAGAACAATAGCTTGTTTTCGGTAAATCATCAATGTGTAATAAATTACGTAATAGAAATCGTCAGTGTGTAACTTTGCAAGGTATATGTATTAATGTCCTATGGTTCTGTCCAAATTTTACCTACAACTCAAAATGACTCAACTCAATAACCTAATATGCGGGGTTGTCCAATCCAAACCTACTTGATCAATTGACTAGAACCATTTGCTATGTCTTTTTTTTTTTAATAGAATTTGCTAGGTCTAATAATGGATCTATTAACCCTTTGTTTTATTTCATTTTATTAACTGCATAACAACGACAAACCTATTAGCTTTCTAGTTTTGGCCTGCAAGGTTTTTATAAGATGTGAAAAATCTGCAATACATTAACACCAAATTTATCCAGCCAAAACACTAAGAAAAGTTTTGCAGACAAGTTTCAAACCATACATTGGCTGTGGCACAAAGACAGAATCACAAAGTTCTCCTATGGTATGTTTGAAAATGTGATTTTTATAGAGTGTATTTAAATTCGAATCTTTCAAATTCAACATTACTGTTTGTTTTTACAAAATTAGTATGCAATTGAATTTATCCCAAATACATGTAATTGAATTCATGTATTTCATTGTTTTAAATTTGTGTATTTGAAATACCCTCCCAACCCCATGTATTTCAAATTTAAATCTATGTATTTCAACTCTCTTCTTTTCCTCAATTAATAAATTGAATATCAAATTCATTATTGTTATATTAATCCAAATAGTGATTTGAAAATACATGTATTTAAATTACTTTTATTTTAAATATATCCTTCAAATACAAATTCAAGTTTCCAAACATATCCCTAAAGAATTTGTAATGACCTAACTCAAGATTGATCTTTGGTTTGTTGAATTTTATAGATGTAAAATGCATCAATAAAAATTAATGAGTGTTAATTCATATACTTGACATATCTTCCTATGTTTTAATTTGTCAAATATTGATTTCTTTTTTTGAACTTCAAATAAATTGCATCATTAAACGTTAAGAGTACAAAACAACACGTCTTTACATAACATATTCACCAGCACATTGTTGGGTTAGGCATATCCCTTCTATGTTGAGAAATGGCCAATATTTGTGGACTAAGCCCACACTTGTTAAGCCCACTTGAAGCCACATTTTGCAGCCTTTTAAGACAAAGAAAGGAGTCTGATTTGGACAGTAGAAAGTGGCGAGCACGTTGTGGACCAACTGGCAAAAAGGGAAAGAAATCAGGGGAGATATTATGCAAATTTTGGTACAGTGCACAGCTTGCAACTTTGTCTGACCCGCAAAATTTCACCATTGAATTGAGCTGAAATTTTGTCTGGGAGTTCATAAGACATTAATCTACATTTTGAAAGGTCAGTTTTTTGTTTTGAGCTTTGTAAATTCAGTTCTTGTGCCTTGAACAATAACTCATGTTTTCATTTTCTGTTTTCTTGTGATCTCTTTTACTTTGGTGGTTTGTGGCCTAGTGTTCCTCTTATTTGGTGTTGTTTTTGTGCCCTTTTGGAAGAGGATATTGTGTACTCACTTTTATTATAGTGGAGCTATTTTTATGGACTAGATGTCCCGTGGTTTTTACCCATTTTTGGGGTTTTTCACGTAAAAACATTGTGTCTCTTGTGTAGTTGCTTTGCCTTGGCTATTTTTACTATTTTTTGCATATTTTAGTTGCTGCCATAATTTATTTGGACTCAATTTAGCTTTCTCATAACAATTTCAAATAGATTGGGGAAGATTTTGGTATTGCTTTTGTTTCCACTGTGTTCAGGTGACACCCCGTTCTTCCCAACACACTGGTATCAGAGCATTTGGCTTGTTGTTTTTAGATATCTATTTGAATTATGGAGGCTAATACAAGTAAAATGATCTGCTTGAATGGTGTAAATTATAAAAAATGGAGAGTTAAAATGAAAGATCTCCTATTTGTGAAAAAGATGTATTTGTCTGTGTTCAGGGCTCAAAAACCAAATTCCATGACTGATGAAGAGTGGACTTTTGAGCACCAACAGAGTTGTGGCTATATAAGGCAGTGGGTAAAAGACAATGTCTTGAATCACATTGCAAATAAGACTCATGCAGGAACTTTGTTGAAAAAGCTCAAGACACTTTATGCCTCAAAGACTGGCAATAACAAGTTGTTTCAACTGAAGCGGTTGATCAATTTGAAGTGCAAAGAAGGAAGTCCTATCTCAAATCATGTTAGTGATTTCAAGGCATCCTTGATCGCTTGTCTAATATGGGTGTTAGGTTTGATGATGAGGTGTAGAGATTTTGGCTACTTAATACTTTGCCTGATTCATGAGAAACTTTTCAGGTTTCTTGGACCATTGTTGCTCCTAATGGTGTTATGACCATGGAATATGCTAAGACTGGTGTCTTGAATGAAGAGGTGAGAAGAATTAACAGGCTGCATCTTCTTCAGCCTCACAATCATATGTTTTAGTCATTGAAGATAGCGAAGAAGCAAAAACAAGGGTCAAGGAGGTAGAGATAAAAGTAGAAGCAAGTCAAGGCCAAAGTACAAAGATCTTGAACGTCACCACTGTGGTAAAAAAGGACATATTAAGAAATGTTGTTTTCAACTTAAAAGGGAAATGAGGCAAGAGAAGAAGAAAGATGGTGATAATGAGAACCGTGTTGCTGCTGCTATTGATGGTGATCTTCTTTTTGCTGGTGATGAAAATGTCATCAATTTTGCATCTCATGAGACAAGTTAGGTTGTGGATTTTGGTGCTGCATACCATGTTACACCTATAAGGGAATTTTTCACATCTTATACTTTCGTTGATTTTGGGGTATTGAAGATGGGTGATGATGGACAAATTAAGATGATTGGTATGGGAACAGTTTGCTTGCAAACCAACAATGGCACAAAGTTGGTTCTTGAGGATGTCAAGC